GGGCATTATTCTGAGTGAAAAACAATGTCTAAACATCACATATTGTATGATTTCATTGGTATAACATTTTTGAGATGACAAAATTATAGAGATGGAGAACAAATTAGTGGTTGTCAGAGATTACGGATGGTGGTAGGAGAGTGCTTTAAAAGGGTAGTGAGAGGAAAGAGATCTTTGTAATGATGGCATAGTTCTGTATTTTGATTATGTTGGTCATTACCCAAATCTACACATGTGATAAAATGTCATAGAGCTATACATACACATTGTACTAATGTCAATTTTTCTGTTTTTGATATAATGCTACAGTTATGTAAGATGTAACTATTGGAGAAATTAAGTGAAGAAGACATGGTACTTCTTTCTTTTGTCTTCCCAACTTCCCAACGATAAACAACTTTAAAAAGTCATTTGCCATCTTGTTTTAAATTCCAAAAAAGACAATATAATATTTTTCCTTTCTTTCCTCAATACTATTTTTAATTATTTTATACTTTAAATGATTCTCTTCTGGTGGGTTTGTTTCAATACTTGCTAGATTAAGCTATCTTGGCCGTCTCTTCTGCTTTTGAAGTAGTGGTAAAGATTAAGGGTATGTGGGAGAAATTTTGCAATTTCTCTACTCAACAGCAAGGATGGCTAATACACAGAGTATGCTGAAGTTCATTGGGAAAGAAACATGCCATGTAGGAGTGCTTATTTCTAAGATAAAAATTTTAAATGTTTTCTCTACTAGCTGAAGGAGTGATGACTGTCCTTTTTTGGAAATATATAGACGATTGCTTTTGATGATTGTAAGCAGGACAATATAAAACTAGACCTTCCTTCCCATTCCATGTTATATAGTCAAGTGTGAACAGAGAAAGAAACCGTTAGGAATAAATCTTCCATTTATTCCCCAATCAAATTATGTACAGTACAATGAAATTCTTTACATTTTTATTTGGCTCACAGATGTGTCTGGAAGGAACCTGACTTGCAGTTCAGGATGTCTAGCCATAAATTATTCTCTTCCTGATAGTGTGATACAAAGGATATGGATTTTAATTTTATATGGATTCTACTGCTAAGGACCCTTGAACAACACTATTCTGTCTGAAGAACTTTTGAAGTAAAAATGTGAGATACTTATCTGCCACTCACAGATACATAGCTTAGGTCACAAGTTTGGAAAATGCTATCAGTTGTATGCCATTAGATCTGCAATAATTTGTGATTATTCCTTACTATCATCCCATAAGTGGTTGAAGTTATTCCTGCAGTCACTCACAAAAACTAAAATAACATCATCTTCAGCCCAAATTATAATAAAATACTCACTTTATTAAATATATTTGTCCATGAATATTTGACCTAAAATTATTTTTATATTTCTCTATAAACATATGTAAAATAACTTTATGAGCTAAAATATACTTTTAAAAAACTGTCTTACAAGCCTTTTGCAAAACCTGTTGACGCCTCTTTCTATATGTTGAAGCAATTCTCTATACTTTCACTCTTTTCTTCTTCACTTATTACTGAAGTCCAGAAGTGAGTGTATATTTCAACAAATACTTCTTCCAGCTTCAGGTCTATTATATACTTTACATGAGCCAAGGGTATGGTATTGTACTTGTACCTGTCTAGGTCTCGGTCTTTACTTCCATCATGTCCTACGTTTCCTGGTGAGCTCCCTGAGGACCAAGCTCAGGAGCACTGTCTATAGCCCTGAATATGAAGTGGCCTGCATGGTGAGTATTCAAGATGAATGTGGTATTTATAATTCTGCACTTAGAAATTTAATTTATTTCAACTGAATACTTCTAAAAGAATTTAATTTATTTTAATTAAATTCCTTTAGAATTATTAGTTCAATACATGAAAGGAGAAGCTGTGTGACGTGCAACAATACTCTGCTAGAGACCAAAATGACCTAAGAAGCATGGCCAGGAGACCAGAGTGGCTCAGCCTTCCTCACCTTGGCTCAGCCTTTCTCGCTGTAACTGCAATACCACATACACTTCAACAATCTGTGCTCCATCTCCACTCACCCTTGTAGACTGGAAAATAACTGGACTTAATCCTATGCCCGTATAAAATAGGAAATGTGTTTCTCAACTCTTTAGCCCATGTCTCCTTTCAACAGGTTGAAAAATCTCATCCCTTTCTTTGAAGTTAATTGAAATACCCCAAAATTAAGATGACACACCCACACAAACTCTAAAGTCATTAAACTGCTAAATATGATGTTTCAAAGTTGTCCATGACCACTAGTCTTGATTCTCATATACACACATTGATGTAAAAGACTCTAAGCTCACATCTCCATAAACCAACCCTCACTGGCATCAATGACTGAGAATAGTTGTTGAGTTGGAGCGTTGGTTTGAAGTGCTGTTGCTTTTTCAGAATCTTAAAATGTGAATAGTGAATACACATGTGAATACTGTTATATGACAAATGCCCCAGGGCTCCAAAAAAGAGGCAGAATGTGAAGTATAATAAAACCTGAATGGTTTTTCAGTTCAGTCAATCAAAAAGGGGCCTGACTAGTTCTGCAGGTCATCAGTTTTCTCATTGCCCTCTTCTAGGTTATACCATGAAGCTCACAGGGTTTGCCAACATTCATTGACCAAAGAATTCAATAAAATACTCCTTATTATATTTGTTATATTATAATTATTATAATATATAATTATTATAATAATTCTAAAATTTATATGGAACCACAAAAGACCCTGAAGAGCCAAAGCACTTTTGAGAAAAAAGAATAAAGCTGGAGGTATAACACTCCATGACTTCATACTGTACTGCAAAACTACAGTAATCAAAACAGTATGGTACAGGTACAAAAACAGACACATAGATCAATGGTACATAATAGAGAGCACAGGAATAAATTCACTAACCTATGGTCGATTAATCTATGACAAAGGAGGCAAGGCTATATAATGGAGAAAAGACAGTCTCTTCAATAAGTGGTGCTAGGAAAACTGGACAGCTACACGTAAAAAATGAAATTAGAACATTTTCTCACCCCATACACAAAAATAAACTCAAAATGAATTAAAGACCTAAATGTAAGACCAGAAACCATAAATCTCTTAGAAGAAAATGTAGGCAGAACACTCTTTGACATAAATTGTAGCAATATTTTTTTGAATCTGTCTGCTAAAGCAAAAGAAGCAAAAGCAAAAATAAACAAGTGGAACCTAATTAAACATGAAAGCTTTTGCACAGCAAAGGAAACCATCAACAAAATGAAAAGACAACCTACTGAATGGGAGAAAATATTTGCAATTCATATGACTGGTAAGGGGTTAATAGTCAACATCTATAAATAGCTCATACAACTCAACATCAAAAACAACCAACCAACCCTATTAAAAAATGGGCAGAAGAACTGAATAGACATTTTTCCAAAGAGGAAATGCAGTGGTCAACAGGTACATGAAAAGATGCTCAACAACGCTAATCATCAGGTAAATGCAAATCAAAACCACAATGAGATATCACCTTACACTGATTAGAATGGCTATAATCAAAAAGAACACAAATAGGGCATCCCTGGTGGCGCAGTGGTTGGGAGTCCGCCTGCCGATGCAGGGGACACGGGTTCGTGCCCCGGTCCGGGAAGATCCCACATGCTGCGGAGTGGCTGGGCCCGTGGGCCATGGCCGCTGAGCCTGCGTGTCCAGAGCCTGTGCTCCGCAACGGGACAGGCCACAGCAGTGAGAGGCCCGCGTACCACCAAAAAAAAAAAAAAGAACACAAATGACAAATGTTGGCAAGGATGTGGAGAAAAGGGGATCCTTGTACACTGGTGGTGGAAATATAAATTGGTACAAACACTATGGAAAGCAATATGGAGGTTCCTTAAAAAATTAAAAATAGAATTGCCGTATAAATCCAGCAATTCCACTTCTGGGTATTTATCCAAAGACAATGAAAACACTACTTGAAAAGATGTATACCTCCCCATGTTCATTGTAGCATTATTTACAATAGCCAAGATATGGAAACTACCTGTGTCCATTGATGGATAAATGGATAAAAAAATTGTGGTACATATATACAGTGGAATCTTATTCAGCCATAAAAAAGAATGAAATCTTTCCTTTTGCAACAACATGGGTGAACTTTGAGAGCATTATGCTAAGCGAAATAAGTCAGAAAGAGAAAGACAAATACTCTATGATTTCTCTTGTATGTGGAATCTAAAAAAAAAAAAAGAAGCTCATAGATACAGAGAATAGATCATTGGTTGCAAGAAGCAGGGAGTGAGAGATGGGAGAAATGAGTGAACTGGGTTGTTGGTTTTTTTTTGTTTTTGGTTTTCGGTTTTGTGTTTTTTTAGTTTAAATAAATTAAATAAAAATTTAAAAGAAAAAAAATCTATATAATTTTCTGAGTTTTAGTACATGTTCCTCTTAAGAATGCAATGAGGTTGATGTTTCCAAAAGCTCTTAAATTCTGAAATATAAGAAGAATGCTTTTCAGCATTGAAACCCAAAGGCCACCTAGACACAGTGTGGTGAGCAGACAAATGATAATCTCTTATGACAAATCTAAGATATGCTTTGCCCAACCATATTAAGCTGTTGGAAGAGTCACGTGATCTGGCTACTTGAAGCAAAACCTACACTGTGTTATGCTACTTTTCTTAGGTGGAAGTCATGCCATGTTGCAGGAAGGTGTGTTTAATGTTTCATTTCTAATTACACCCCTGAAAAAGTTATTCCATACATATCATGCAAGAATCTGACTGCAAAAGAAAAGAAAATTCTGGGCTTCCCTGGTGGCGCAGTGGTTGAGGATCTGCCTGCCAATGCAGAGGACACGGGTTCAAACCCTTGTCTGGGAAGATCCTACATGCCGCGGAGCAACTAAGCCCGTGAGCCACAACTACTGAGCCTGCGCGTCTGGAGCCTGTGCTCCGCAACAAGAGAGGCCGCAACAGTGAGAGGCCCGCGCACCGTGATGAAGAGTGGCAGTGGACCCCGCTCGCCTCAACTAGAGAAAGCCCCCGCACAGAAACGAAGACCCAACACAGCCAAAAATAAATTAATGAAAAAAAAAATTTCTGACTTAAGAAGGCTGGATAACATTTACCTGTTTAGGTATGCATTTCACCACACCCCATACCTTCTTACTTCCTTTTTCTTCTAATATAGAGCATGTGCTTTCATTTCCCAATTTTGACTTAAAATTTTATGGCACTAATAATTCATTACATTTACTTAGAACGAGAAATTCATCTAATGACTCATGTGTAAAGGGATGCTTACGAAATAAAAATCAGTGAGCATGTTGTACCATCCAAGTGCCTCCAGAGTTACTTAGACTTGTCCTAACTGATGCTGTAAACTTTGAAATAAAGCAGACTGCAGAACTTCTGTGGTTTGTGACCCCTTCCAAAATATGGCAGAATTTATAGTCATTGCATGTGAAAACTTATATAATTATCATTATAATTTTTTCTTGTAACTAAAATTCTGAATGAGCCCAAACATAGACTTGTGAGTTCATTTTTCTATAATACAAGAAAAAATTAGAATGTTTAAAGGATTAAGTTGTATACGATTTCTGATTGTGTATCTTAGTGCTTAGAAGACTCTTGACTTTTAAAAGAAGGGTAAAAATGCCACTATCTACTATAGAAATTTTTCTTGACATCTTGGCTTTTGGGGCCTATCAATCTGAAGACAACTATTTATTTTTAATACTAACAAATCTGAATTTGGGATATATCTTACAATGATGGGTTGTTAGCGCCCTATTGTAATTTAATTGGTAGTTTTTTTCATGCCTTACAACTGATGGTGTCTTAACTTTGGTGAAATATTGCAGTTGTTAAGATGGATGAATTGATCTGACTTATTAAATCCCTTTTATGTTACTTTTATGTTTCTAGTAAACTTCTTTCACTTTCTGTCCTGTATCATCCTCTGGCCTCAGCCCATTGTACCTTACCTCTGGGCCACAATTCTCCTGCCTATAAAGTAAAGGGGATGGAGCAAGTGGTTTCCAATGTCCCTACATTTTGAATGTGCTCTGATTTACTTCTTTACTGACTACCTAATATCTTTGTCTTTCCTGAAGAGGGCATCCGCAAGGGCACAGTGGATCCCTCCAGTTCCTTAACTGAACACAATACAAAATGTGATGGAGGTAGGTGGGAATAATTAAGGGGTAGGCTCTCACTTAAGTAAGATACAGCTTAGATCCGGAAACACAATATATTTGCCTACATTTATGTCTGATAGTCTTAAAGGGTAATCCCTCTACGTGATCCAGAATTCTGGGAAGATCTATGGGAATTTGTGAGGAAGTCAAAAACTATTCTTATTCTTTTTAGGTCAATGGAGAAAATATTAAAGAGCTAATGATCTTCGTTTGTTCCTTGATTTCTTTGAGAAAGGACCTGAGGGTCACCACCAAGCTCTGAGAATGAAGGAGGTGAGGACTAGTGTAAGTGTCATTCTACACCACAGTCAGGTAATATGGAACTCTTCTTATAGACTGTTGCCGATTTGTGTTACTCAAGCCAGAAATTGGATTCCTCCCTCCTTGTTTGTAACTCCTCACATCAAATCAATTAGAAATCCTATTGATTCTAATTAGCAAACATCTCCCAAAGCTTTCTACCTTTCCCCATCACCACCGTCACTACCCTGATTCAGACTACATCATCTCTCATCTGGGTTATTACAACAACCTTCCAAAAGGTCTCCACGTATCTAATCTTGCTTCCTCTTGTTCATTACAATGAGGCTATTGTATCTGAAAGCTTTTTGAAGCATGAAACATATGTAAAGTACTTCCTGGAATAAAACCTCAAAGCCACCTAGATACAGTGTGGTGAGCAGAATTATGGGCAAATCTCTAATGCCCTTTGGATTTTATAAAGTTCAATGATTCTTTATTGCTTTTAGAAGAAAGTCCAGGGTTTTTTTAACCCAGCTTCCAACATTTTTAATGTTACAACACATTAAAATCATCATATTTAAGTGGCTCACAGGGATACCCTGAAGTGGAGGGATTTGAAGAGTCTACACTGATACTGGACTTTTTAAAAAAATCATTACATTTTATCTAGGTCATAATTACAATAAGAAAAATAAAATACAAAGTGTTAGGGAAGAAACTAAATAGTTTTACATGTATAAATCTTTCAAATAAAATATTTAAAATTTTTTCTACTAAAATTTTTAAATCTGTAAACAGATTACAACTTTTATGTTAAAATTTATGTCTCAAGTGGCTTCACCAAATTTCTAATCAAGACTTTTTAATGATGACCTCTCTGAAATCTTGACAGATCAATCTGTAAGAAACATTGGTCTCACAAAAAGTAGCTAATGACAGAGATGTGTTAAACACTCTTTTTATATTGATGAAAATGACTTTCTCATCATTAACCAGAATTTGGATAACTTGAGCTACTTACATGGTCCTTATTATACTCAATTCTTCTTAAACCTAACAGCTTTCTTTTCTTTCATTGATCAGCATCACCTCAAAATTTCTGATGGTAATGCAAAATGATTTCTAATTCAATAAGACTTTTCATTTCAAAATAATCATGAAATTTTTCCTCAAGTTGCTCTAACAGCCTGTACTAGTCAGGGTTCTCCAGAGAAACAGAACAGAACCAACAAGATATTGTACATATATGGAGAAGGAGAGAGAGAGAGAGAGAGAGGGAGAGAGAGAGATTTTTTTAAGGAACTGGCTCATGTGACTCTGGAGGCTTGGTGAGTGCAAAATCTGATGGGGGAGGAAAGCAGCCTGGAAACTCAGGAAGGACTTGTGGTTCAAGTCCAAAGGCAGTTTGCTGTAAAATCAGAAAGGTAATTTGCTGATTACATTGCACATGTAATGGGTGGAGGTCATGGGGTGGAGGTCACACTTTTGGTTGAGTCAAGCCTTCAACTGATTGAATGAGACCCACCTACATAATGAAGGGCAACCTGCTTTACTCAAAGTCCATGTTTTTTAATGTAAATATCATACAAAAACACCCTCACAGAAACACCCAGAGTAATGTTTGACCAAATATCTGGGCACTGAGGCTCAAGCAAGTTGGCACATGAAATTAACTACCAAAAGTCTTAATTAGTCTTCGAATTCAAATTATGATTCTGACTAAATATTGCTAATGAGAAACTTCCCCTTCCAAAAGAAAATTTTTTCTCTGAATTTGTAAACTTTATGAGTACATATTAATAGAATACTTATATGGTCCTAGAAAGTTTTAAGTTTATTTAAGTGCTTTAAAAAGTTCAGTTAAGTAACCTTTTTTTTGGAGCCAGTAACTTGCATTTTATTTTACTTTTGTTATTGCTCATGAGTATCAAATATAATCCAGGACTAAACAGTACAGTGAGGTAAAAAGTTGAGAAATTCTCAAATATGGAGTAAAATATCTTAAATTTAAATCCCATGCACAAAATTCAGAATGACAAGATTTATGGTTAGACCGTGCTTTACAATGTGACTGAGGTTCAGAAAAGTTAATTAAGGGACAAATGTAGAGTCAGAATGGCAAACCCCAGGGATGAAGAATATGGGCTTTGCACTCACACGTTTTGGGGCCAAAACTTTTTTTGGAGCTAAAGTTTCCTCACCTGCCTCACAGGCCTGAAATAAAAAGTAAATAAGAAAAAAAATACACAGTCCTCAGCACAGTGACTGATGCAAAGTAAGTGTTCAACAAATAGAAGCTGGTATAATTTCTGTTTATATATTCTTTTCATTTTGTTTATCATTATCTTTATTATTACCCTAATTAAGGAGCTGGGATTTGATCCAGGGAATGCTTTTGCTAAAACTCATTTTCAGTAAACTATTTCTCAAGCTGGTATTTCTGTAGAACTGATCAGGAACTAAATACTACCCGAGGAGAATAAAAAAGGAAGTGAATGAAAAAAATTAATACTAAGAAAATAAATACTGCAGTCCATATCAATCACCTCATAAAAGCCTCTTATCACCAAGATAAGAGTGGGTGGAGACACTTCGCTAAATTACTATCAAGGCATTGTGGTAGCATTTGTATTAAGTGTGCCAGAAAAGGAAAATCTTTTTCCCCCCTGTACATTCACCTCATTCATCTCTACAGCTGTGGAAAAAATATTAGTAAATCTGGTCTTGAAGGGCAGAGGTGAGTGTTTAAGCCCCTTTTAGCACCAGCTACAGTTCAGAAACCCTCCATCAGCAACACCAAGTGACTCTTTTCTCTCTTCTGACCATTTCTCTTCTTGGCCTCTGTTTAGATTTTTCTTTATCACAAGTGCTGGGCTATTATGAGTGCAAGACCTATCATATTTTGCTCAAATCTTGTGGTGGTTACAGTGGTTCTTGCTCCTGTTGCTGAAATTGCATTTCTGATAACTCAAATTAGACCTCTGGGCATGGCTCATTCTGACCACAGCTAGTTGTCATTTCATATTTCTATCTGTGAGAGGTAACTGTCTGCTGTCTTCAAAACCAACAATCAAATAAAATTCTTTCCCTTTCTTTTAGATGTTTCTGGTATATTCCTGGGAACTGTGGAGAAATGAAACATGAAAGACATGTTTATGGGCTTTATTCTAGAGCACACAGGATAACAATTGCATGAAGCCAAGAAGGACAGACGTGTCCCTACATTCATCAGGTTGGTAGTAGTTCCTTACAAGGTGGAAGGCGTTGTGGTAGAAGCTGTGAATAACAAAAAGCTGTGTTATAAATGTTCCCTGCTGTCTAAGCCTGAGAATCAAATAAGGTCACTCACTGAAGAAAATGGTACATACACTAAGCCTTGAATTATAGGTTCAATGTCAATCAGTGATGATGATTGGGGAAAAAAATCTCACATGGAGGGAAATACAGGGTAAAAAAGAACAACGCAGAACCAGGGAACTCTTAATAACAGTTTTATTATAATGCAGTGGAAGAATTAAAATTATCAAAAATAAGTCTATAAACATGAGCTGATAAATTCTACAAAAGGTATTGAGTTTGTATTTGGGAGAATTTTTAAAGTGTTTTTTAAAAAAGAATTGGCATAATCAAAGAAACGTGCCACATTTATAGAAAGATTAATGTAGTATTAATGGCAACAAAATTTTAGAAGCATAGATTTGGAATGAGAAGTTGTTCCATCTATGAGCAATTGCCCAGTTTTGAATGCTTACAGTTTTGAACTAGTAAGTTGAGAATTTAGAAGAGAACATGAGTGTGATAGACACTAAGATCCTCCAGGACCTAGTGACTTTTATAGGTGAAAACAAAGAGTGAAAGTCACCTCTGATAATTCATGAATGATCAAAATATAGCCAATACCACAAGAAGTCGGAAGACTTGCACAGAAGTTGTGAGGAGTGGTATGTGGACAAGGGCAAGGAAAGGAAGAATTGAGGTTTAACAGCTGGTCCAGGTAGGAAGAGAAGTAAATCTGAGGAGAAAAAGTCAGTAGAAGACAGAAATGTAAGCCTCATCTATGTGGAACTGATTATTAAAGCCATGAGCACAGATGGTATCACTGGGAAAAGAAGAGCATATGAGAACAAAAAGAACTTACATTTTTTGATCACTTTTTATATATTAGAGCCTGGGTTTGGTATTTCATATATAGCATTTCATTTATCTAGTGTAAAAAAATCTTGAAAAATGTCCAAAACAGGCATGAAAAAAGAGGAAAAGGACATTGAAGGAGAAAGAATAGTGGGAGGAGAAAGGAATAAAGGAAAACAAAATTAATACGTTGTCATATTACCTAAAGCAAAAGGAAGGAAGAGAGGCAGAGGCTGTTCTGCATTGGCAAATTCTGAGTGGGGGGCAACGGGAGGGGAGCATTGAAGATGAAACCCAAGATTAGGTTGATTTTTAATGATCTTTGAGATTCATGGCATAAATTGTGAGGTTGAAAACAAGATTTCAAGGCCTTAAGAATGAGTTTGTAAAATGTTCATAGTAACCCATGAGAGACTAGTGTCTTTTCCGTATAGTCCCTTAGCACTACAGAAAACAATGCAATGTTCCCTGTACTTTATCCCTTGCATCTTCTTCCTTGTGGTCTTTGGTCTAATTTTCATCTGTTCTTGTGTCTGTGAAAAAGATGGCTCTAGGTACACTGGACCTTTCATTAAAGAAATGATCATAGAACTCCATTTATAAACCTGATACTAAAAATACACCAGTGAATTATTTTTCTTCCTAATGGTTTTGAGCATCTTCTCTGTGTCAGTACTGTTGTTTTGTGTGTACTATCTAATTTATTTTCAGAATGACCTTATTGCATCATTGTTATTATTTTCATTTGTCAGTGAGGCAAACAGAGGCACAGACAGGTTATTTTTCTGATGCAAAAAACTCTCCAAATAGAAATTGGAAGCAGTTTTGTATGTAATGGATTATGTGTCTTTTGCATTTGTGATTTAGATGGATCAGTACTATGGTCCATGATCTTAACTGCCAGTTTATGCTTTGTTCTATTTGTTTCCAACAAACATCAGTGAATACTTTTCACGTATGCCCCACATGGAGAAGATATGATAGCTTTCTTTATACTGAGAGTGAGCATCTTCAAAAGTGAATAAAAATGGGTAAAAGTAAATGAAACAAATTTATAAAATTAGTAATTTAGAAAAACAAAATATAAATTATTTTAATTAAATATAAAAAAAAGTTTGACAATTAATAATTCTTATATTGTGAGCTTTTTGTCAATGTGTATTATTGTAGTAATTGAGGTGTTTTGGGGTTTCATATAAGACGCTCTTTCAAAGATATATTCGGTTTCTCTCTCCTTTTATACATTTATTTAATGGGGTTGGCATTTAACATTTTTCATACATGGCTATATTTCACATTGATGTATTAAATATTGTTGAGATGTTTCTTTCTGTATTTTTATAATCTAGTAGGTTATAGGTTTTTATACCTTTCTTAATTGCTTCTATTGCAAAACTATTTTTAAAAATTGGCTAAATAAAAATAATGTTGTAATAAGGGTGGAGTGAATCTATTGTTTTATAAAATTCTTTCCAAGTTGTTCTCTTCACTTTTGTTTTGATATTCAGTCACAGAAACTAAGTAAACGAAACCTCTCTAGGGATAATAGGAATGTAAAAAATACAGACATGCGTGCACACACACACACACACACACAATGTTCATCTCCTTATAAGACACATTTAGAATATTAGGTGAAGAAAAGTCTTAAGGACAAATACTGATTTTCCCATTTCGGTCTTGGAGAGTCAAGGAAAGATATCTCTTGTTTGTTTTTAGGATGCCCAAGTGTTCCATTAGTTCAGTCAAAGATTTAATCAATCATCCAGATGTTTGAATAATTGTCCAAATGTTTTTGTCAACTTTGTGTGAAATAACTGAATGGCCTGAACTGACTTGAGTTGTTATCTTAATGCATGGCAGAGTTCAACTGAGGAAAGTATTAATTGGATCCCAACCACATGGCCTTAACAGAGAAGTAGAAACTGGTACTCCCACATTCCCATTAAATCCTGGGGTCATGCCTATTCACTTTGGTAAAATTGAACTCAAGATTTAGAGAGGTTCTGCCTCAAGAATCTAAAGACCTAGTCTGAAGGGATCTTTTGAATATTTCTTTAGTTGTATAAAATTTGAAAAAAAATCAAATTCGTTACTACCTTTTATATCTGTCTTACTTTAGATCAAGTTCAAAGCTGGAAATGTCACTTTAGTTTCCTTAAAATAATTTTTTTTCTAATGAAATTATTAGGATTTCTTAGATTACCAAATGTTGCAAAACGGTGCATGGAATGATAGTGGAAAGAAAGGACGAACTTTAGAAATAAACACATCTGGTTTTGAATCTTAGCTCTGCTATTATAAATAACTTGATGTTGAGTAAGTTATTCGATTTTCCTAATCTTCAATTTTCTCATCTGTAAATTTCAATATTATTGTAAAGTTTAACTATAATGAACATAAAATGGCTAGAACATTATAACTCATAGCTATTATGATTTTCTTAATCATAATAGATACATTTCTTTAAGATGGAATGTGTCGTATCTATATGGAATTTTAACTTTATATTAGTGCTTATAATCGTTGTATACTCAGTTTTCAACCTGCAACTACTTGGGGCTAGTATTCATTCATCCATTCAACAAATTTTTTAACACTAACTGTATTCCTAGTACTGTCTCAGTAATGCGGAAACAATGAGGAAAACATAGAAAAAAAAAAGAAAATAGACATAGTCTCTGTCCAATTAGAATTTGAAATTAATTTGGAAGAAAAACCAAAAAGGTAAATAATCCGATTTTAAAAATATGATTCTGGAGTGTACTTTACTCGAAAAAGTACAGTAAAAGAAAAAAAAAAGTACAGGTACTGTAAGAAAGTAGAACTGAATGGCCCGATTTAATTTGAATTGTTTAAGAAGGGTCTGAGTAAGTGCTATTCAACCTGATTCTTGAAGGGTAAATGTGGTCAGTAGGTAAATCAAGGGGAAAATGGTAATTCCATGCAGAGAAAACTGATGTGTAAAAGTCCTGAGTCAGGAAAGAGCTTTCTGCATTGAGAAACTAAAACAAGATTGGTGGGGTTGGAAAGTTGGGACAAGGGGTGGCATGATCAGAGGGGAGTCTGGGGTAATGGAAGGGAAAGACAATCAAAGGCATTTTAGAGTCACTCTTAAGCTTAATCTCGAGAGGACAGAACTGAACGCTTGCTTTATTTAGCCTCTTTTCACACCTCTTCCACCGAAATCCCTGTGGAAGTTAGAAAAGAATATTTTACAGGCTGAATTCTCAAAAACAAGAAAGAGAACTCTCAAGGGACTAGAACATGGAAGGAAACCCTGACAGCAGAAGGTCCAACTGAAAAGAGAAAAGAGAATGCAAAATGTGCGAGAGAAAGTTCTGCCTTAAAAGGTGAGAAAGAGTAAAAGGCATCTTCATGACGTCAGTAAGCGACACCAGGGGCCACAGAGCCCAGGGCAGCCAACACAACAGTGAGCTGGAGTAGCACAAAGGGGAATGTATAAAGCAAATACTGTTAGCCCCACAAAGGAAAATGGGCAAATTCACAATCACAGCGAGAGGCTGAACATCTCTCTCTCAGGAACCAACCGAGAAACCACCCGCTAATAAAGAGGGATATGGAGGAGTTGTGTAATGCACTTAACAAGCCTGATTGAATAGCTACACAAAGAAGCCTCCACCATACCAAGAAAACTACATGTCATTTTCAAGCACACAGGCTACAGCCACAAAAATTCAGCATGCGCTAGACCACAATGGGAATGTCAGCAAATTCCATAAAGGTGATATTATACAGGCTCCATTTACTTATGCATCAACAATTACAAGAAATTCCACTATTCAAAAAAAATCCCCATATACCAGGAAATTAAGCACACACACACATACACACAACTGCAAATAATTATTAAAGTGAAAATCAATGTGGAACTTATAAACTATTTGGAGCTGAATAAATAAATGAAAAGTGCTACGTAACAAAACTAGTGGAATATGACTGAAGCAAGACTGAGAAGAAAAGATATAAACTTAAATGTGTCTATTTGAAAAGAAGATTGAAAATAAATAATCTTTGCTTTTAAGACAAGAATCTAGGAAAACAAAACAGAAAACAGAAGAAAGTGATTAATATAAATGAAAGCACAAAACAACTAACTCTAAACTTTAAAAATGGATAAGTAAAAACAAAACCCAGTACATTGAAAAGAATAATAAGTTACTTTAGCAAATATAACCAAGATTTAAAAAATACATATAATTGTCAGAAATGAAAAGTGAAACAAGAACAACACAGAGGAGAGCAAAAAATTGTAAGAAAGCAATAAACTGCAGAGCAGTACATTTGTAAGCCTAAATTAAACCGATAATTAATTTCCAAAAGATAAATTTCAAATGTATGTACTTTTCTGAAGCTTATTATAGTTCAAAAATAGGTTTAAAATTAATGGTAATTAAAATATATTCTCCAGGAGAATAAAAAAAAGAAAGAGAGGAGAGGCAGAATCTAGCTAAAAGGTTCCAGGTGAGTAAAAGTTGTGGGACAAAAGAAGTGGTTCCTTTAGGGCATGTTTAGGACTGTAGTATTCTGTGCCAGGCAAGTTTTCAGGGAGAGATGGTAGGAATATGTAATTTAATATTATTTATTAATATTGGTCATTACTGAAACCTCTAAGTCCTGAACAGTCATTCTGCTTTTTTTTTCTGTTCTGGCCCAAATCTCAGAATCTAGGCTATTATGAGGGTGTTTTAATTTGAAGCCCTTGGAAGCTCTATCAGACCTCCAAGAGTCAAAGAAAATAAGAATGGCTTCTAATAGTTCCCTCCCACCCCAATGAGTGCTCAGAATTCAAAAATAACCCTAATAACAATTTTCTAGGCTATATATACTTTCTTAAAATATTTATTTTCCTGGCCCAGCCTCTCTGACAACTGATATTAATGTTTTAGAAAAGTGCATACAGTCTCAAAAATTGTATGAATTATCATTTATAATTGAGTTGGAAAACGGCGAGACCGTCTGATCTCTTTTCCCCACTAAATAAATGCTTTCTCATGATGACGTGAACTTTATTTGTTATTTAAACTTTTTAGGGGACAAATATGTTTGTTTTTCTACCATCAGGGCTGAGAATGTGCATCTAGAGGTGAATGCATCACTAGTGACTCTGAGCACCCTTCCTCTGTGACTGGGTGAAGTTTACTCAGTGTGTTGGTGGCCCAGGTAGTGCCATCGTGCACCTGCTTTCTCACCCTTTGATTTGGCTTTTAGATATTGTGCCCTTTTTACAAAGGATTACTTGAAAAATACAAGGCATAAATAAAATAGAAGTAAATATGATGAAAAATCATGTGAGAAATGCACACACTTCAGGGTGGATGAGTTTGGTAGGTCTGCCGTAACAAAGTACCAGAGACTGGGTGGCTTAAACAATAGAAATTTCTTTTCTCACAGTTCTGGAGGCTGGAAGTCTGAAATCAAAGTGTCAATAGAGTTGGTTTCCTTCTGAGACCTCTCTCCTTGGCTTGCAGGAAGCTACCGTCTCCTGTGTCTTCATGTGGTCTTCCCTCTTTACCCATCTGTGTCCAAATTTCCTCTTCTTATAAAGACACCAGTCATATCAGATTAGAATCCATCCTATAGAACTCATTTTAACTTAATTACATCTTTAGAGACCCCGCCTCTAAATACTATCACATTCTGAGGTATCGGGGGTTAGGGCTTCCATATGAATATGTGAGAGGGACACGGCGCAGCCCATAACAGGGGATTTTTGTAGAATATAAAAATAAAAGGGGGAAAAATGAGAAATATGGTGTAAAGATAGCTGATAAGACCGTTGTGTGAGCAATGAAAGAAAAATGATTTGAGAAGAATTTAAAACGCTCACATGGGACTTCCCTGATGGTCCAGTGGTTAAGACTCCTCGCTCCCAATGCAGGGGGCATGGGTTTGATCCCTGTTCGGGGAATTAAGATCCCGCATGCCACAAGGTGCATTCAAAAAAAAAGAAAAGTGCTCACAAACTTGGCCAAATACTAGTTAAGCAGTTGAAATTAACTTCTACTTTGCCGCCGACGTAACTCCACAGTACTTTGTTGTTTCCTGTAGCTCGTTGCATTAACCCAGTTAGTTGTGTGAAAAGCTTTTAGAAATTGCCTGCACACCATAAGGACTTAGCAAGTATCAGCCGTCTTGGCCGTCCTCATTGTTAGATTGCATTCTAGCACTCATCACAGTCTGCCTTTAATGCGGTCCACTCATGTGTCTAGTCTCCCCAACAATCCTGAATTCCCAAAAGGCAGAGAGACTCACTTCTGTTTCTCTGTCTCAGGATACAGTGTAGCCACATAGTGTTTGACACCTAGAATGTGCTAAATCAAAGTTAAGCTTCAGAGGAAAAATAAAAACAAAAAACAGATTTGCCATTTCTTAATGTTTTTTCCCCCCTTAAAATCCTGGACTAGACAAATGCTCTAATACATGCTGAATGAAATACAAGTAATATTTGTTTAAGTATGGAAATAAAATTTGTCTTTTTTTGAGAACAGACAAAAGGAAAACCACTTACTGAGGTATTTTAGAGGCTCATGAGAAAAACAGGCAGGAGCTAAATTTTAAACAGTAAAGAATTTTAATTTGGTAGTGTTTGTAAAATGCTTTAAAGATGCAGAGTGATGCATGTGCTTTTTTTTGAACTTGGCAAAAAGGAAAAGGACAAATACTTAAGACCAGATGGAGTGTGAAAAACATGAAGAAAAAAAGTGAAAACTAAGTCAGCAAAAATATAGTTTTTCAGAAATAATTGATATTTTTGCTGTCATCTGGAATGACCAAACCTCCAACTTTAATAAGAGAAAATATAATTTTTAAAATATCCAATTTGTAAATGTATTTTTATTTTGAAGAAATTTAATTAGAGAGGTATGAAAAATGTTATCATTCTGCTTTCTCCTAGAAAGTAAAAATGGGATATCTATATAAACAGGAGCTGAATAGGAAAGCTCTGCTTGGTCTGAACACCTCAAACTTTTGAGTGTGAGATTGGTGTTTTGGTGTGGGCTGCAGGCACTGTATGTAGCTTCCTTATTGTATGTTGTTTCCAGTGGTGGTGATGTATTTTGCTCTCCTACTTTACAGAACTCTATTACAAAACACCTGGTGCAATTTAATAGTCATTTTTGTACTGCTGTTCCATCACTTTATGGTCATATTTAAATTTTTTGAAGTAATTCAAAAATGTTAGCCTGGCATGGTTTGAAGAACTCTGAATCAGGACCTGGCTGGCATTAATGCTCTGCTCAGCTGTGCATTTAGATGTAAACAATGGATAAGTCACCTAATTTCTCTAATCCTCTATTTTCTTATTTGAAAGAGGAGGAAAATACTATCTATTCTCGCTATCTAACGTAGTTGTAATAAGGATCATATGAGAATATGTATCTAAAAGCGCTGCTTAAATGAAATGGGCTTACCTTATTATTATTTGTTAAACAGAACTCATAATTGACTTTTGTCGAATCACCAGCTCCCATACTTCAGATGATATCAACTACAAGAGATGCGTGTTTTCTATATATATTGCTCAGAGAAATTGTAGCAGGCAGCTTCTGTGACAGAGGTTGGTATATGATAAGACATAACCAAAATTTAGAGTTGCAAAAACACTCAAAGATATCTAATTAGGTTTCCATGTGAATTTGTAAATAAGACTGAAACCCAGAAATGGTTAATAATTTTCCTAAGATTAGTGTGCTCTGATAGCTAATTTAGTGCTTACTATGGCTCATACATGATGCTATTGGAAATGATTGCTGGATTAGACAGGGCCTTGCTCAATCTTTTAGATCAGGGGTCAGCAAACTACAGTTCATGGGTTAAATCTGGGCCACCACTTGTTTTTGTAAAGTTTTATTGGAACACATCCACATCTATCTATTTACATACTGTCTATGGCTGCTTTCATGTTACAGTGAAGTAAGTCAGAAAGAAAAACAAATACCATATGCTAACACATATATATGGAATCTAAAAAAAAAAAAAAAAAGGTTCTGATGAACCTAGGGGCAGGACAGGAATAAAGATGCAGAGGTAGAGAATGGACTTGAGTACACGGGGAGGGGAAAGGGTAAACTGGGACGGAGTGAAAGAGTAGCATGGACATATATACACTACCAAATGTAAAATAGATAGCTAGTGGGAAGCAGCTGCATAGCACAGGGAGATCAGCTCCGTGCTTTGTGACCACCTAAAGGGATGGGATAGGGAGGGTGGGAGGGAGACTCAAGAGGGAAGGGACATGGGGATATATGTACACATATAGCTGATTCACTTTGTTGTACAGCAGAGGCTAACACAACATTGTAAGGGGATTATACTACAATAAAGATATTAAAAATAAACAAATTTTTAAAAGCACCATTATTAAAAAAAAAAAGAAAGTAAATTCCATAAATGCTAACTTCCTTGACAAAAGTAAAAGATTTTATTTCCCTCCTTGTAAAGTAAGAAGATACGAACTTCATGGTGTGCACATAGAAGGAGCTTCTGAGACAAAGAACAGAAACTCTCAGTAAACAATAGGTTTTCACACAATAAACAACAGAAAGCAATGGATACTTCTGGAACCCTCTCCATCCTTCTTTCCTACAAGTTTACAGACCAGGGATTGCCTTGACAGGGAAGTGACTATACTGTCTTACTGAAAGATGGTTCTCAAGTCACTAAACAAGAATTAATTGCACATGCTTCTATCATGTTACTTTTAAAGCAGGTCATTGTAAGACAGTGCTAGCCTATGAATTCTCAAGAGAAGTATGTCCTGAGAAAGTAAGCATAGGAAGTTTACCTATTTCCTTATTCATGTTTCTTCCCTTGCCTTTTGCCTGGTGAGGTAATGCAATAACAGAACCTTCAGCTTATTATTTTAAGCAGAGTTCATCTAGTTCACTTTGGGTTCCTGGGTGGTGAAATGCTTGAAGACCTCCCATGGATAGAAAACCTTTGCATTGTAATCTTATTACACAACAGGGAAGGTCAATGGAATGAGCCTTTTTTTCCCCCTCATTTTAGTTTGTCTCTACCACATAAAAATGTGACACAGAATGAAGCAGACCCAAGTCTCTGCGTGTGATATTAACTTGGAACTGCTTTTTGTCTGTCATCATTGACCATGTCACCACTTTGTCACCTGCCTCCTAGATTTTGTCAACTGTAGCTGGGTGTCTAAGATCACTTTCATCCTTGTGGAATGTGCCTGCGGCGTTTGCATGAGGGCTAGTCCACTCAGATAAGGCTATTGCTGCTGGGGAAGTTATTTTGTTTGCATTCCCTGGATTTGTGAGATTAATAGAGAGCCCTCCAAGGTGGGATGAGGAGGACTTCAAAAATGTCAAGGGAGGAAACACGCCCTCTAGCCATTTGATTGTGAGATTGATTTTGCGAAATGACATGTGTAGTGACCCCTTTACACACAGCTTTTTACTTCATCCAGTATTGTGGCTGAGCTTTCTTCATCCCGGTTTTTCTTTCATTCAAAACAGAAAAAAAGAAAGTTTTATCAAACCCCAGAACTCAATCTCCCAGCATCTGTTTACACTTCTTGGAATGACTGAATATGTGTGAGAAGAAAATGGCAGAAACCGGGAGGGTAAGTGAGGAATGGCCCCCTTCCTAAACTCTTCTGAGGACATTTGGTTTCTTCCCGCCTTCATTCCCCTCCTCTTCAGTTCCTCCTTCCCCACAAACAACTTTACTCATTCTGTGCAAAAGTTTGCCATTTGGTGTTCAAGATTAATTTTAATACCTAGATGTTTCAGCTGCTAGTTCTTCAATAGACTCCAGGATTCCCTCTGCACTTTTGGTGACTATATAATAGTCATGGCATAAACAGTAGGATTTGTTTTCATCTACAATCACAACCACAGAGTTTTGTATTTGCTTTAGAGCAGTAGCTCTCAAAATGGAAACTTTGAAAATATTTTATTTATTTGGTTAAAACCATTGGGTCATATCAAAAAACACGACTGAACAAAGAAATATGGAGAGGAAGTGTGGGGAAAGGAAGGACTCAGAGTTATGCTGGAGGACCAATAAAGGGAATAAAACCCATCATTTTAATATCTTATACATTTCCCTTTTCTATTTAAAAGAAAATCTCAATAAGCAGGCTAGCCTGTAACATCATTCTTCCAGGCTTCTCCGTTCCTATTTAACTACATGAAAACCTGTCTGTAAGCCCCCCACTGGGAGAGGGAAAACATTCCCTTTGCTGGCAGGTGGTCTTTTGCAAGCACTTCCCAATTGAAAGCATATGTTCCTGGGTGTGAGGAGGCTTCTGGTAAGTGGAAGGAAGCTCATGTGTAGAATGATTGGATTATGTAGGCAAATTCAAGATAAGCATGCTTAGTCCTCCCTTCCTTCCACAATAAAGGTAGAGGCTTTTGATATCACATAGAAGGTCTCTATCCTACTCATCTTCACCTCCAAGTTGAAGGTCTTCCTTCACTGTCCTACAACATAGTTCAGTGTTCACATCCTCTTTCATATTAGCGTTAAACTAAGACCCCCTTGTTTCTCTTCCTTTTCCTGGTCTTTGCCACCAAGACCAGTTAAGCTACCAATAACATGAGATTGATCTTCTTAAGGATAAGATCCCTTCCGCAGAACTCAGATTTCTTCACAGTTAATGGAAGAAAGGAGAGAGGAAATGAAGAACCAAAAGAATATCCTTTTCCTGTTCAAAGAGGGGGAAAGTCTTTTAGCAAAGATTTTTTTAAAATGAGAAATTTGATTCAGGAAGAGCAGTATGCGAATGACCATTTCAAAGGAAATCAATAAGAAAAGTTCAAGAAAATGATCATAATGAAATATATCTTAGCAATACATCTTTTACTAAACATCAGACATCTATTATGTGCCTTTCCCTGTCTGAACACATTTTCGTAAAGGCTCAACGTAGCTAATTCTGTTGCATTTCCTGGAATGAAGAAAGAGTGAGTTTGCTTCACAAAAGTTAGAATTTAATTGAATTTTGTGAAGTACAAAACCCAAAAAAACATTTCCCCCAATATTCCAAACTCTAAAAATAATTGAGGACTGCACAGAGGCAGTGAAAAACTGCATAATATTAGAAAATGTTCTTTACCTCAACCCAAAAGCACTTTATAAATGGGTACAGTATCTCATGGTGAAAAGAGGAGGTCAGATTGATGCTGTTTTAAGCAATGGGTTATTTAGTTAAGATTTGCTGCATCAGCTTCCAGGTGCTCCCCCAAATGTCAGTGCTCTAATAGTGAACATTCTATTGCTTGAAAGATCAAAGTTTCCTCTACTGGTCAGAAAAAGTGGCATCACATTTTTGCTTTTCCCCAATAACTGATTTTTGTACATTTACTATAGAAAGTGAATCTAACCATATTGAAGGGGATGATAGTCAGGTTACTTAGCTTGGAAAATATTGAAAATGAGGCAGATGCCTCTCATTTTCTTTTTAACAGAAATATCCTACACTGTACTTGCAAACCATTAGTTTATGAGTGAACTAGTTTACAATGTATGTAGTATTATATGTGCATGTTAGCACTTCTAAGAGCTGCTTGAGTAACCCGGAAAAAAGGGTCAAGAAAATATTGAACTGTCCTTCAGTTATTACAGGCTATTTAGAAACTGGAAAACAAGCTAATTCTGATTTAAGAAAAACATAACGATACTTTGTTTTTATATAGTACTTTTCAGACATGACTTCATTATTTATCAGAACATTCTTCTGAGCGTAGGTAGCAAGGGCTTTCTTCAGTTTACAGAGGCATAAACTTGGGCATGAAAAGATTAATTGATTTCTGCCGGGCACAGAAAATCTATGCCAAAGGGAAAGAGAGACCAACTTTCTACAAAGGACTCAGGAGCCTGCTCTTCCTCCAGTAAACAGAAATCACATCATCATTAACTTTTGTAACAACTTCTTAGAATCTTTGCTACACAATGAGTATTAACCATCTGCGTGGTATGGATTTAAGAAGATTTGGGGGTCTTGCTCATTTATTGCTTTATGCTAACACACTGCACTCACATAGAACATAGTCATTGGTTGAACAGCATTGCTTACATGTAATAGAGAAAAGAGGACAATCAGTAATGACACTCGATTCGCGATTCAAGAGTGCACAAAGGGTACAGCGAAGAGTTGTCATTACTTGCTCCTAGCAAGTACTATTTAAGGCCAGAAAATCACATAATTAGAGGCACTTTCAAAGCTCCTGATTTCAAGATAACTTTCAAACATAATTATCACATTTTTGACTGGAGACATATCAAGGCCGCAGACATTAGTTTCTGCAAAAATCCCCTGTCAGTAATGTGTTATAGTACCCTTATAACAATATATCTTGGAAATTACTTTGCTTATGTAGTTTTTCGGGTCTGAATGAAGTAGAAGAGCGACACAGTCAGTTCACATTTTTGTAAGTTCACTTTGGCCTGTAACATGGAGAACGTAGAGGTCGATGAGATGGAAGGCAGGGTGATTAGTTAGGAGGTTTTGGTGAGAATGAAGGTAAAAAATAATGGCGGCATTAATTAGAGTGGTGTTAGTGGTGATGGAAAGAAGTAGGTGGACATACACATACTTACTGGATAAAATAGATGTTTAGTTGGTCTTGGGGGCTGAAAGAAAGGAGTTAAAAATATCTCCCAGGTTTTGTTTGTTTGTTTGTTTTCAATTAAGTGGATGCTGATGCCATTCAGTGAGATTAGGATTAGAGCGTCAAAGATTTAGTCTGGGGAAATGAAGCGCCAGCTTTTGACATGATGAGTTTGAGATGCCTGGGAGATACCTAGGTAAAACCATGGGCAATTGAATGTATGGCTCAGAGTTCAGCCTCAGTGGATATCCTCTATGAAATCTTCCATAATCACTTTAATGGAAAGCCATGTCTAAATTCTGGATGCCTCTTCATGGCTAAGATTTGAGGAGTTATCTTGATTTATCTCACAGTATCTTAATATATAGTTTAACAAAAATATTACCTAATTTCTTCAGTTACTTGTAGTCTAAAAGCGCAAATTTATAGAGGAAATTTAAAAGCAATGATCTTTTCTAAATTCATAGAATATTTGAATTATATCCCTTAATTCTGCTTCAGGCAGGTATTATATTCATATGCACAAACCCAACATTCTTCTTGGAATTCAGTAGTTTCTTGGTATTATGAAATAAGACTTCTATTTTTATAAACAGCAGGTGTTTGACCGGGGAGATGATTCATATGCTTTTAAGTCCAGAGCTCTAATGAATGTTCTAGGTTTTCAGATATGAATTTATAATCTGTCATTCATTCATTCAGCAGGCACTATCCTAGGTGCTTTGATTTGCCTGTTTGATAAACAGCTCTTTCCTTGGAGAGATTATAATCAATGGAGAAGACAGTAAAGAAAAGATATAGTATATAGAATATAGTATAATATATAGTACATTAAATGGTTATTAGTTATTTGGAGAAAAATTAAAGTTGAGAAGATGAAAAGGGAGCACTTAAAGACGAGTGTTTTCAGCTTTCAATGAGGTAGTCAGGGGAAGCTTCACTAGGAAGGTGGAATTTGAGACTAGACCTAAAGGAGATGAGGGAGGATGTCAAGCCACTATATGGGGGAAGAATGCACCCTCAACAGAGGGGACAGAAAGTGCAAGGGCTCTATGTAGTCACGGCCTCCAGAGTAAGGACACCAAAGTGATCAGAGTGGAGTAAGCAACAGGGAAAGCTGTAGTAGATGAAGCTGAAGAGGGAAGGAAGTAGGGGTTCCAGATTGTTTGTACCTTTTAGGCCAAGACAGGAATGAATTCATGGAGAGTTTTAAGCAGATGAGTGACATGCTCTGATGCATTCTTAAAGGATCACTGCTTGTTATGTTAAAAGTAGGCAGTCAAGTGTCAAAATGAAAGCAGGGAAAGTTAGAATAATTCAGGAGAAAATTAATGGGGGTTTGCTGTGATGGTTAATTCCCGCAGGCCTGAAATTGGCCTGAGCTGTTTGGCTGAAGTAAGAGATGTATCTGTATAAGTATGGCTCGCTAACCGATTGTGTCACTGGATAGTTTAAAAAGAAATAATAATAAGAGATGTATCTGGATGTACTAATCTCTAGACAAGGCACAAAATATACTGAATGATAATGTTGCTTTGTAACCATGATTCCCATGCAAGTTTTAGGATGGCTTTTACCAGTTTGTCAGCATTATTGATTTTGTTTATCTACAACAGTGAGATTGCTGATTTGTACCTGGTCTCAGTGAGACTCCTAGAGGGTTCTGACACTGGGGCTGTTTATCTACCGAAAAATAAGCCTGCATGACAGCAAAGTATAAAATATCCTGTTCAGAAATTCATTTTGGGTTTCCTGATCCCAGGGTGTTCTGTGAGGTACACACATCTGTGGTCCCTGATCTTTGAGAGAAAACAACAGAGCCCTGCAGGGGAGGATGATTGGAGCGCGTGCTCAGCCTCTCTAGGATCCTTGCTATGAGACAGGCTTTGGCTAGAATGCAGCCTTACCTTAACTGTTGTTTTATCGTATGTTTTTCCAATAATAAACCTTAGATTTATAATCATTTTCACTTTGAGCTCTGAGAGTCTTCTTTAACAATTGAAGCCTG